TGTATATTTCGCAATTGTACTGATGAGAGCCAAGTGATACTGAAGTAGAAACTGACTACAGTGTTTGTATGCAGGAGGTCCTGCTTTGATGGGGGGTCTGCAGCGCAGAAAACCCATTGTTTGGCTGCCGCCTGGAAAGTCACATGACAACACATACACACCTGGTTTCGTGGGGCGGACCTAGCAAAAAGAGAAAAAATGTATTGTAAGACTTTGATTCGAGGTCAGTGGATGGAACTCCTTCGGGAGCGCTGTCTCTCTGATGCCAGCACTGTAAAGACTTTCCTGTAATCAGACTTTCAGTAAACTTTCTGTTAATTTTAAACAGTCCTCTCCTGTCGTCACTTCTCGTGCTTCCAACAAAAGAATTGGGTTAATTTCTAACAAAGAGGTTAGATTCTAACAAAACTTTCTGTTGATTTTAAACAGTCCTCTCCTGTCGTCACTTCTCGTGCTTCTAACAAAAGAATTGGGTTAATTTCTAACAAAAAGGTTAGAATCTAACAAAGTATCTACTGCTACATTACCTCAGGTGGGGTAGACATCAATGTGATGGATGAGATGAAGCTGGCAGTTAGGGACATGGAGATGGGCAGGGCAGTCATTTTGCGTCCGCCAGTTAAGAATTCCTCTGAGCTTCTTTGGCCACTGCTGACCCAGGTGTAGTAGAGCCCAATGCTGGCAGACAGCACCAGCATGACAGCAAACACCACATAGTCTGCTGTCGAAAGAGAGCCAGCCACCAGAGAGTCCATTGTCATTTTGATTAAAGTAATACCAAAATTAGAAATAAAACTGTTCAGAAAGTTATTCAAACTGTTCAGTGTGCTCCTTGGCACTCAGTCGTTTTTGAATGGAGATCCTGGCGTGTCACCTGGACTACAGGTAAATGAACTATCCTTTAATGTATTATGTGTGTGTGGGTGTGAGTTCTTTTTCACTGAATTCCAAAAAGGTACATCATTAATTTAAAGTTAGCATAGTTTTCCATCCACACACACATTAGGTAATGTTTGCCAGCTGCTACTGCAATGTATTGGCGACCTGTCCAGGGTGTACCCCGCCTTCGCCTGATTGGCAGCCGGGATTGGCTCCGGCCCCCCTGTGACCCCGTTCAGGGACTAAGTGGTAGAAAATGAGTGAGAGAGTGAGAGTGCCAGCTGGTACGAATAGTATATCAAGATAATTCACATAGTCATCATTCACATTGTCAGTTAAGTAGTTTTCCATGAAACTGGCAAATACAAAGTAACAATGACTGAAAATGACCAATGCATAATCCTAGGAATCTGTAGGGCTTTGTCACCAGCAGCCACAGCCAAGCTTAAGGGAGGCTGTCACTGTGCAGGTTGAACACCAGCATGGAAGGTAATGTACTGTATTGTTAGGTAATTTCTTAGTCAG